GCGGCACCCCAACCCCCTGATCCGCCCTGCTCTGTGTGTGACAGGGAGCGGTGCCCCAACCCCCTGATGGGCCCTGCTCTGTGCGTGACAGGGGGGAGCTCCCTAACCCCCTGATCGACCCTGCTCTGTGCGTGACAGGGTACAGAGCCCCAACCCCCCTGATGGGCCCTGCTCTGTGCGTGACAGGGGGCAGCGCCCCAACCCCCTGATTGGCCCTGCTCTGTGCATGACAGGGGGTGGCGCTGCAACCTCCCCATTGACCCTGCCTTGAGTGTGACAGGGGGCGGTGCCCCAACCCCCCAATCGGCCCTACCCTGAGCGTGACTGAGGGTGGCATCGCAACCTCCCGATCCGCCCTGCTCTGTGCATGACAGGAGGCGGCGCCCCAACTCCCCAATCGGCCCTGCTCTGAGCCCGACCAGGGGCTGCACCTAGGGATTGGGCCTGCTCTCTGCCACCCGGGAGCAGGCCTAAGGCAGCAGGTCGTTATCTCCCGAGGGGTCCCAGACTGAGAGAGGGCATCGGCCGGGCTGAGGGACCCCTCCTTCCCCCCCGAGTGCACAAATTGTTGTGCACCGGCCTCTAGTCCTATATAAAAAGCCTAATATGCTAAGTGTCTGACCGTTTGTTCGACCAGTTGCTATGATGTGCACTGACCACCAGGGGGCAGACACCAGGGGGTAGGTTAGCTTGCTGCTGGGGTTTGGTGGATTGGGACTGGGCAAGCAAGATGGGGCCAGATATGCCCTGGAGCCCTCCCACGGTCCCTCCCAGCCCCCATCATGCACAGGTGGGGTCCCTCAGTCTGGCCTGTACCCTCTCACATTCTGGGACCCCTCAGGGGATGTTGGAGATCAGGTTTCAGCCTGATCCCTGCAGGCCAGGCCTAGGGACCCCACTGGTGCACGAATCCATGCACCGGGCCTCTACTGCTGGTTAATAAATGGCGGAGATATAATTTAATAGTTGAGGTCTACAGTCTATGCTAGTAATTCTTTTGGCATACTGCCTCTCTCCTTGTATTCCTGCCCCTCATCACCAGCCCCATTACTAGAGGCGAGAATTACTGAGCTCAATCATTTTTATCAAGGTTCAAAAGGATCCCATTGTATCTTGAAAGTATCTTGAATCCGTCAAGCCTCCAATGACTCAATACCACTGTGATCTCCTAGATCACCTTTCTCAGGTACTACGTGTGCCTATTTACCATATATTAACTTTGTTACCATCAAACTGGGTGATATATATCACATCTCTCTAACTCGGTGGTTCCCAACCTTCCTAATGGCACGACCCTTTAATGCAGTTCCTCATGTTGTGGTGACCCCCAATTTCATTGTTACAAATTGAACATAATTAAAGCATAGTGATTAATCACAAAAACAATATGTAATTATGTATGTGTTTTCCGATGGTCTTAGGTGACCCCTGTGAAAGGGTCGTTTGACCCCCAAAGGGGTCGCGACCCACAGGTTGAGAACCGCTGTTCTAACTCATAATGGACACAGCAACTTGCTCTTCTGATTTCTCAGTTTTGTTTACAGTCCCCCGAACCTAAGTTCAAAGTCACTTCTGTCTCCTCTCTCTCTTGCCTATTCATATTCACAGACAATTTATTTCTGTGTTTTGGTTGTTCATGTGTCTCTGATACCACTGGTTATCTTCTCCACCTTTTCTATCTACAGCGAGAGATGCCTCACCCATTAATTGGCCCAGGATAAGCAAGCCATGTGTTAATGGTTCTTATATTGCTTGAGATTCTCACTACCCTTTCTCCAGCCAGCGCAGGAGTCTTGTATGTGGTCTTCTGAATGTGAGCCTTTGACCCCAGGTATTGGTTGCCAGTTTATTTTATCTAAGGAAGAGTCTCTGTCCTGTTTCTGTCCATTACCCTTCCATCCATTACCATTGCTAAAACAAGAGCTCGCTCCTTAATTGGTACCAAAAAGTCTATACCATCGACTTGTCCTTCCAATCTCATCTCCCATTACTCCACTCTAAACAAACCTGACCAAAAGCTACTCCTATAAATGTTTCTCTTTTTCCACCTCCGTATTCTTGCTTGTGCAATTTATTTTACTGGAAATGCTGACCCTCGCCCTGCCCTCTACCTTTACATCTTAACGCATTCACATTACCTTTCTCCTTACTCTTATTTTCTCACTTTTTAGATCTCATTTGGCTAGGAGCATGGATCTTTACTGGATTTGAAAGTTCCTGAAGCCAGGAATGGGCTTTACACAGCTCAGCAATCCTTGCAACATCATCCAGTTTCTTGCACATATTAAATCAATGTGTTGGCTAGAAATAACGGCTAGTCCCCACTTGATTCTTTGTAGAAAATACGAGCCGTTCTTCTAACACCATCTTACCCATCGTTTTGCAAATGCCATAAATCAGAGGCTAGAATGCGTTAAGAAAAAGCCTTCTAAATTCTAAGCCACAGGAAGGACACATTGAGATTGATTAAGTACCTCCTGGTATCACCTTTAAATTCCCTAAATCTAGACTCAATATGTATCTGTTTTGTTTCTATACATTTACTTTAACAATCTGTCTCATCGGTTAGCACTAATGCCTGATATCCCTGAAGCTTAGTTTCCTTTCCTGTAAAACCAGGGTAATAATACCTACTGTACATGATGGTTATGGAGATTAAAGGAAATATAGATCAAATTTGATACTCTATTAGTTCTTAAAATTAACTATTAAATACAATAGGCACTGAAAACATGTTTAGCAACTTCCTCCTGTCATGAAGACCATGCCCACTTCCATGAAGGGACCTGGAATCCACACTGGCGTTGCCTGCAGAGTGGGCTGGCACAGACAGAGACCCCATAGAATTGCCTGGGAAGTAATGTACATAATCCACACAGACACCACTGACCTTCGGGGAGGAAGGAGCCTCTGAAACAGACAGTTGCTCACTCTTTCGTAAAAAGAACAGACTGGTAGGGTTTGCAGGTAAAACCCTTCCCTGTTCTAGAATTCTGCCTCAAACCAAAAGAACGAAATCAGAAGGACTAAAATCAAATTCAGAAGGAATGGGTTCTGATTGCAATCCACGGATTCTCAGTGATGTCTCATGCTCCACCTAAATATCCCCTGCCTTTCCCCCGACTCCACGTCTCCCCATTTGAGACTGTGACCCGGGGAGACAAATTGTGCTAGGCTAGAGACTCAGCAGAGGTGAGTCCGCAGGTGGTGAATGAAATGGCTCCGGCTGGCTGGATGGGAATACATTGAATTAATAGCGACACCACAGTAGAACCACTACTGTTGGTTTTCAGGGAGCATTATAGATTCAGATTTGCGTGAATTCAATCTTTTGTCCCTCTTCATTTCTTATTACTTTCTGATGTGTTTTCTTTCTCCAATATCTCTCTTTACCTTCTCCTTGCTCAGTAGCCTCCTTCGAACACTGTTTCTAGTATCGGGACTTTTAAATACATATCGTTAACTCTCTGTAATTAAACAAAGTAAGGAAGTAAACAAAGTAAGGAAGTTGGTCTCAATTAAAGACAAGCTAGAGAAATTAGGACTTTTTAGAGAAATGAAGCTTTATCACTCTTAGGGATTTCCCAAAATGGTTGGAAGCAGTGACGGAGCCACAGTGCTTAGGGAATGGGTGGCCGCCCGAACTTCCACTCAAGCACATACTGCACGTTCACTGTTGGAAATAATGTATGTGTTTTTGCTTCCTTTTTTTTTTCAACTAAAGACCTTTACTCTTTAAATAGACTAATATTTATTTCTTTACAAATTGCTTAGCAAACATTTTTCTTTGAACACTGTGGATAGTGAGCTATAAATGCAAATCTTAGTTGTTTAAAACTTAGTGTTAATGAGGTCAAGACCACACACTAAATCTTTCCATCTGCAATTATCCTTATTGCGTGGCCATAAGTGTGTGAACAAGGAGCTCTGGCCATGAGAAGCTTTAGTATGAATCTGTCCAGTTTGCCTCCACATCGCTGGAAAATGGCTCTGTTTTCATCAGCTATGCTCCGTGGTTCGTAGCTTCGCATTTCTTCATGAGCAGCACTTATCTTAAAATTTTAGTGATAATTTTAGCACCATACTGGTTATTTTAATCATTTATTTATTTGATATTTCAACTTTCTGCTATGTAGTAGTTGCTTAAAATGAGGCAAGCATTTTCTGCTTTCCAGTGGCATTGCTCATTGTGTATTTATATCCTACTTGTTAAGGCTAATAACACTACGTGAGCACATGGAATTGCATCCGAACTCGGGAGGTAAAATAATGTTCTATTTCATGAGATGAGTGATTTTTTTTTACTAACTTCTCATTCCGACTTAGAGTGCTTTTCTCCTTTGATTAAAATGTATTTCTCAATTAAATTAAAATGCAAATACAAGACAGGCTGTGTTTATGGTTATAATAGAATTATTTAAAGAAGGTTTTAATTCAACTTGCTATTAATATTTCATGCAAGAACTGTTGTTTTATTGTTGGGTTAGTACTGCCATGTTCCATTTTCAAGATTACTTAAAGTGCTATGAAAACTTAATCATACTGCGCAGATTTTATCAATTGTTGCACTCTCTTCTCTGGGATGTTAAAATGGACTGCTTTCCTATATACTTTGTAAGTTATGTCAGTGATGTAGAAATATCAGTGCTAACACTTTAGAACCCCTTGAAATTGAGTTATGAAAAATTTTCTATTTGTTTTGAATAAATATTTTATTGCACAGAATTGAATCAACTCTTAAATTTAAGAGAACCATATTCTAGAATTAATTATGCAATTAAAGATCTGGAAAAGTACTTCAAAACACCATTTAGTCTAAACTTGTAATTTATACGAGAAATATAAAATGTTTGTATTAGAAATTGCATGTTATGCTATGGATTTCATTATGATGTTTTTAGTACATTTTTAGAAGTAGTCTATAACTTCTCAAATAAATTGATTAAAATAATCAAATATATTATAGCTTAATCTTATTCTCTTTTTTTGTTATTTTTTAGAGACCTCAGTGAAAACCAAATTCAGGCAATTCCAAGGAAGGCTTTCCGTGGAGCAGTTGACATTAAAAATTTGTAAGTAGTTTTTTAAAAATGTATACGGCTTTTTAAAGCCATCCTATTTTAATGTTAAATTTATATTAAAGAAACAGTAATGAGAAGTGGTGAAAGCCCAATGTATTTTTATGCTTGATTAGGAGAGCTTGTAAAGTAAGTTTTATATTGTTTTCACAATTTATCGGCAAGGATTCTCATTTAGATGTCTTGAATCTGAACTGGTTATCAAATTCATTCTTCAAACCTTGTGATTAATCTTGTTAAATCTGAGAAGTGATTTGATTAAAAGATATTTGCAATGTATTTTCTGCCTTTTACTGTCAGCTTATTTCAATAACTCCCTTTTTGGTTGTTACTGCTGTTTATTGGATATGCAGACTATAAACTATTTTTTCCAGAAAGAGTAGATAATATTTTCTCGTTAGAGATACCTACAGCCTAGAGCTATAGCTTTCTAAAATAGCTTTTAGATCACCATTTTCATTAAACACCAACAATATGAGAAGAGAAAAATTATGCATTTCCCTTTGTGTGAATATTTTTCTTACATCTATTTTCCTTCATATCTTTATGGAAGAATATATGCATAACCTTCTTTAAATAGGAACAAGAAAAAGAATACTGCTTTCTGTATGTTCCCTTGATCAATCTTTAAACTGTAGTGTTTGTTCTAAGTGCCCGTGGCTCTGGTGATATGTATTGGATTTAAAATCTCAGTGGCAATACTAATATTGCCAGTATATACTTTCATACATTTTAAAATACCATGTTATCCTTTGAAAATGATGGTTTTAGATTCACTGTGAAAGTGAGGGAATAAAATGTTTCTTTATCCTTTGCATTAGCTTGAAATGTAGGGGGAGAGAAGCCCCTGAATGCTGAGATTAACTATCAGGAATTCAGTACTTTTTAACTGGTCATAAACCGGGCAGGGGCTGTGTCAAGACTTAACTTATATTCAGGATTCTCCATGGTGGGATCCAACATTTTTTTCGATGGAAAAAGTGAGACAGATGTTCTTCCTCGTCAAAGAGGATGATTGTTTATAATGCTACACGTCTTGGCTTCTATAGCTTCTCTCCCGTGTACATGGTTTTTGTTTTAAATGTGTACTTTCTACATGTACAAGTCAAGAGAGAAATAGAGGCTTCTGGATGTAACTGTGTAGAGCCATTGAAATCGTGGCCCTAGTTTTTTAAGAGTGTTTACATGTTCAAAGGATTTTATTTGCTTTCTCTTTATCTTCTTTAGCTAGGGCTCCGAGAAGTCTGCCTGTAGACTCGGCGATATAGAGTGTTCAAAACGGCCTCTGTATATTATGTCGGAACATAAAGATCCTATGTAGCACCTACTCAAGTTGCCTATTTGTCACTGTAAAAGGATAGTAATGGCTACAGTTGACCACCCTTTGGGAATGCACTTACAATCTTACCATAGTATTATCTCTAAGTCCTTAAAACAGGTGGCTTTTGCTTCTTAGGAAAGATATTCATGGAATCCAAGTCTATAAGTAATCCTTCTGCCAAATTTAAGGATACAGTTTGGAACAGGATGCAGGTCATGGTGAGATTCTTGGTAATATCCTCCTCTCTTATCCTTAAAAAAAAAAAGTGATTTTAAAAGTTTAGAGATAACAAAAAAGTGAAGTGCTAGCCAGTGTGCTGAAGGGAATGCATTATTGACTTAGCAGGATTTTTGAAAATCTTTTTTCCCCACATGCGTTATCCCCACCCACCCCAAAATTAAAGAGAGTTATTATGTATTCAATGAGATGAGATTAGTACTGGAGTCTCAGAATCTTTTGGTTTTTATTGGATTTGGAGCTATGACAAATTAGTAAACTTAGCCTTAGTTTTCACTTTTATAAAATGAACATAATAATTGCTTGGTTTTGTTGTGAGTATTAGGGGAGAAAGATATGTACAAGACTGTTTATAACAGTAAAATGCAGTGAAATAGAGTGGTTTTCATTCTGCAAGTACTCACTAATCAACAGCTAGAAGTTAACCTTGGAAAAGATAGAGTAAGAAGACAGAAAAGCAGGGCATTTGCAATAGTAGTAATGGATAAGAAACCCATGTCTATTAGGGGTTATTTAGACATGAGCTACAGAATGGAAAAATAAAATACATCAGAAAGTGCTAAATGACTCACCCAAGATGCTGATATTAAGTGCTATAGGTGCTGAGGAGAGCAAGAGATATTAAAAAAAAGGATTGTTTGAAGTTATTAGGGAATTCTGTAGGAAAGAGTTTATAAAAGAAAATATAAAGGAATCTGGAGAGGTTGGTTTATATTCAGAAATAGTGGCAAGGGTGGGATGGAGGAAGTCAGAATTTACTAAAGAGGCTGTACAAAGATAGAATTTATTCCCACTATTTTTACTGCCTTTCATGTAACAATGGGAAAGACTATCAGAGCAATGTTGAAATACCACAATGCATTTTTAGGTTTATTTAATTCATTAGGATCATAGCTAATGAATATAGTTTGAACTATAATTAAAATATAGTTCAAACTACATTGTTCAAAAAATGTCCAGTTTCATGGGTCTTTATATAAAGTTCAATTTTTTTTCATTAAAAGTTAAAAATATATCTGGTTGATCTCTTAAGAGGGCTTGTATGCATGCATGTAAGCATAACCAATGGACACAAGACACTGGGGGGGTAGGGAAGGCTGGGGGAAGGTCAAGGGGGGAAAAAAGGAGACATATGTAATACTCTTTGTAATACCTTAAGCAATAAAACAAATTTTAAAAAAATAAAAGAAAAAGAAAAAAAGTGAAAAAAATATATATATCTGGTAAAGTATATTTAATATGAGGGTAAACTTGAATTCATAATATTATTAAAGGGGTGACCATACATTATCAAGTAATGCCTCAATAAAGGCCAAATATATTTGCATTAATAATATTAGTAATATTCAGTGTGGGAAGGAGAGGTACAGACCTATTTGCATTCCAGGATATGCATTTACAATCTGGACAATCCTGTATGGTGCCAGGATGGCTACTGTTCCTGGTCATTGAGAGTAAAAGAGGAAAAAAAAAACAAAGGTTAGACAGAAGGAATATGTGCTTAGGTGGCATCAAGGTGGTATTTTGTTTAGCACTAAAAGCCAACCTGATGCACCGTATTGGGCGTATTGGATTTACCACAGTCAGGCCTTACTCAGAGCAAATTCCAGTTATTAGCAGACTTTCACTGGAAGGCCTTTCTTTAAGCGGGTGGATTGGCCAACTATGCTCAAGGCAGCGTCCTGACAATATGAAACTGATGCTGCGGACATTTTGCGGATTAGCGGATCTTAGTCCTCTTCCTGCAGGCCAGCCACACAGAAACCATGCCAGACAGAGGGACATTTATCTTGCTCTTCAGCATCTCCGGGGCTGACTTCCCATACCCTTTTGGCTTTTCTCTATTAATTCCTTAACCGGATTAAAATTCTTTATATTTTATTTTGTTACCTAAGTTTCTCTGGCTGCAATGGAAACCACTTGCGTTTTCCTGACATTTTAGACGGTAAGATTGGAGAATAACAAGATCATATTAAAATACCACCTAAATTATAGTGTTTATAACAGTCCCCGGCTGCACTTTTCCATAAGATTTACATCTGTGTTTTCCAACTCCCCAATCAAGTATGAATTAAAGTATTGATACTTTATCTTTACCAACCCAGGCCTCACCAAAATGGTAATCACAGTTTATACCACTTTTTAAAAAAAATGAATTTTGCATATATCTCATGTATTTAACACTGATTCAGTAAAGCCTTCACTGCCTTCTGATCAGATCTTAAACAAAGACATGTTACATTATGCTACTGTGTTTTTTTTAAACAAGGATTTATGAGATATTTCCATTTAATTGAATAATGTTGAATAATTTAGGGGAATATTCAAATTAAACCTTGCTTTATTGCTGAGCCTTGCAAGCTTATTCTCTCAGTATGTACTTTCTGAGTATAAAAATCCTTCCAAAATCTCTTGTATTTATAAGAAAACATCCCTAGTTATAGTTATTCTAGGATTTAAATGAAAAAAAGTACAAATATATACACTTAAAAATTAAGCAGATTGCTAGTTGTTATTCATATCACAAAAGCAAACTCTGTCATACTTCACTATTAGTTTATTTAGTGAGTCCAAGATGGATACTTAAAAATAATTAAATTTCAACAAGCATTATTTCAGCTATACTGTGTAATATAAATCACACTTGCCTTTTTTCTAATTTCATTTTGCAGTACATCCTCCAAATGTACAGCATGTTCCAGTGAAACTTTACTTTTCATTGTTCATAAATAAATTCCCTTCCATTTACTTGCTTTATCCCAAATGCATTAACCCTCCATCTGGTAAGAACCTTACCATCATTGTCCGGGAAAACTTCCTCTTGGTAAAAAGTACATTATGGAAAATATTACATTTATTCTTTTTTTTGACATGCATTAATTGATAGGCAAGAGCCTAGGTTAAAGAGGATCTAGCTTAGTTCTCTTTGAGTAAGTCATGGTATCATTTGGGAAACAGATGTGTATGACCATGACATTTAAGGAAACAAATTACCCAATTTGGGTTGCAGTGATTATTGGCAATAAGAAGATTTGGCAAACAGAAGAGTTGATTTATATTGTTATAATATATTTTCCATACAAATGCAAAACTTACTTTAGCTTTGTCACATAACTTAAGTCAGAATTGCAAAATGTCTACTCTAATCAGCTAGTTTACATGTTTAGGGCAAGATGTTTCTTTTCATACTTACATACTTATTAAATAATTATCATACAAATAAAATCTATTGGCATCAAATTGAAATTGTAGCTTTTAGGGACCCCAGCTCTTTTCTAGAGTGTTTTCGGTAAGATGAGGCTGAAGAGACTGAGAAGGGGAGATCAGTTCCTCTCTCAAGGGGTCTGCTATCCTTGGTGTTGGATTAGATGCCACAGGCCTTCAGTGGGACATCAAACCGTCTGAACAGACCTGTAGAGATGGCTCTACCCTTAGA